TCGCGCCTGCCAGCGTTTTAGCACCAGCGTCTCATATCGAACCGTGTGCCCTTGGAACATCGGCAAGCCTTCGCCGACGCACGCAACTGCGCAGGGTGCGGCTTTTCGATGGGTCACTATGCGTATTGTTTGGACTACCCCTAGGCTCAGCCAGGAGTTAAAAGGTGACAAGCGAAGCTCTCCAAACTCTAAAGTGAGGGTTTGAGGGCAAGTTAAACCCCAAGACTAAGCCATTAACGGGTGGTTTGACAACCTGGTTTGAGGGCAAGAAAACCCTTAAACCTGCACCCTAAACCTGAACCCTAAAGTGAGGCAAGCTAAACCCCAAACCCGAATCGGGTGGTTTGAGGCCAAGAAACCCCTACACCTGAATCCTAAACCTGGGCCGTAGAGTCGGGGTTTGAGGGCAAGTTAAACCCCAAAACCAAACTGTAAAAGGGTGGTCTGGGGGCAAGTGAAACCCAAGACCCCAAAACTAAACCCTAAACGAGGAGATTCGAGGGCAAGTTAAACCGGAAACCTGAACCCAAAATGGGGCAAGTTAAGCCAAAGGCTGAAAAAAAGAGCAGGAAGTGCAACAAAGTGCTACTGGGCGAACCACACGTGCTGCGGGAAAATGTGGATTCAGGATTCTGGTTTTTGCCCATCCTCGTCGAATTAAGCTTGTGTTCGGGGGGTTTCCTTTGTGTCTATTGTGAGCTTTCTGATCTGGCCTAGAGGTAAGAGCACAGGTGCATGGATCATTGTGCTTGAAGTCACGTTGCAGGGTTTATAGGAAGTTCTCAGACTTTTCGCGCCTATGACATGCAGTGAGCACGTGGATTGCTGCCCTGCTGACTACCTATCTGCTTGAAATTGGATCTAGCCTGCCAATCCGATAGCCGGATTCGTGCACGGAAGTGCAAGAGGGTGCAACACTCGTGGTCAAACAAAGATGGCCCGGGTCAAACAGACAACTGGTCAGGGGGAGATTCGAAGCCTCTCTCAGGGCTCAAACTCACTGTCAGTTCCCGAGCCAAATTCTCACGGGAGTTCCCGAATTTTCACGGCTGGCATGACACAAAGTTGTCGTGCAGTCCAGCAATAGTCCGTACTAGGAGTGGATTCGGGTATGTCAGAATATCCCCACAAAACAGATGGCTCTCCGCGTTTCGGTTCCCTTTAAGACACGTTGAAAAGGGTACCGAGCATCAAACAACACACAGCCCAAGCCCAAGACAGCCCTCCTTGTGGTCCTCCGACTTCTTTCTCGCGCTGGGGCTTCGCCTGTGGAGCAACTTGCAATCTAAACATTCCTCATCTCGGTTGCGAAATCTGCGAAGCCCTGCTAACAGTGACTCACTTTTAGCGGTTTAATACGGAAAACCCATTAGTTGACAAAAAGTTAAAGTCCTAACATCCAAGCCAAACACACCAAAGTCATTGTTGGCTGACTTAAACTGCCCACAGGGTCCCTTGGCACATCATACTTCAGGATTTGACGAATCTGCAATTGACGAATCCCCGTGAATCAACCTCAAAGCCGCAAAATATATGGGTACTTGGGACCCTCTGGGTTAGGGTATAAACGCAAAAAACAACAAGACCAACAATAGCAATATGAGTGGGGAAGCACAAATAGGTGGTAATGGGTTCATTTCGGATACTAGACACACATGATTGCCCTTTCATGCAAGCTGGAAACAGTCACCTACAAAACGGTTAGGCCCTCTCATTTTTGGCTGACTTGAGCACCCGAAGGGAGCTGAAACGTGTCCCTGGACTACCGGACAACTGCCAACATGCTGCTTCATTTTTTGTGGAACAGAACTGACTGATGCTCCGGATAGCTTGAAGTGCAACGCGCAAGCATGTGTTAGTAGCGGTTCCATGAATCTGCTGCGGCTGTCGGCTGAAAGACACATCGCCTTGATTGCCTGCACCGGCAGAAATGCAACATGCCCGAACTGTCAAGTCGAGACCAGCTCCTTTCAAGCATGTAAGGAATTAAGAAGGCGGCTGCACCTATTTATGCTTGCTTCCATGCGCGGTTTCGCACCAAAAGCAAAAGAACAGTAGTGATAGATTCCATCTAAACCAATACGGGACAATAACAAAATTAATTTCATCGACTGGTTGGTTGGGATTCTCCCTTACTAACCTTCTAGAAGGCTGGGGGGGAGGGAGGGGGGAGGGAGCCCAAACAAGCCAAGGCCTTAAGTCTCATGTGCGCTCCCTCCCCCTCTCCTCCCTCCAGCCGCCAGGATCTACTTGAGCAAGTGGCTCACATGCCCAGGCCGGCCTTCGCGACCTTCTGGGCGACCGCCTGGACGACCGCCTGGACGACCGCCTGGACGGCGAACGCCGCCTGGACGTTTTGGCTTCGGTTTTGGCTTCCTTCGAATCGCTAAAAAGAGGCGCCCTCAAACACACAGACTACACAGCCACGTCGGCGTTTCAAGTATTGCGGTTGGTTTCAAGGAAGACCAAAGGGAAAGCAGCTGTTTGGGAGTTTCGGGGGGTCCTTCATTCGGAGACAAAGCGGCACGGTTGTGGAACATTCGGCCCTTCCTTTGATACGGAATGGGGCCAACTACTTTGTGTGAAATATGATCCCCTCCTTGGTTGCTGTTGACCCTCTGCAAAAAGTTTAACTTTTTGGGGGTTTAGTGGAAAACCCCTTGATTTCCCAAAAAGTTAAAGTCTAAAGATCCAACCCAATAGCAGTCAAGCCTCGGTTGCACACAAAGTGGCCCATTGCACCAACAAAGCCATTCCCTGGTCACTTTTTCTTGAGGGCTTCAAGGAAATCCCCCTGCCACCTGACACGCTGCACCCACGTGCTGTTGAAATGGAACCTGACTAAAAATTCCCGGCCCGAGTTGGAGTTTGGACCCATTTTCCTGTAAACAGGCCTTCTGGTCCCATTTGTTTGGTTGCAAGGGCAAGGGCGCCCCTCTTTCAGCAATGGAAGTGCACCAGCGAGGCTGTTTTTTTCTTCTTAATTTGATGGCAGTCTTTCCAAAGCCTCTCCACTTTGATTGGAACAGGCGCTGGGTTTCACTTGAAAGCCCTCAGGGGAACAAGTGACAGCTGGCTAAGGACGCGGACCTTCTGGATCGGCGTGCGCGCTCGCCTGACAAGATGTCAGCTGGAGAGTCACGTGTGGGATTAGACCCTCGCCACTCACCATGGTCTCCACCTGGAGTCTCCATGACCCTTTGAAAAATGGGGTCAGTATCCAAAAGAAAGGGGTCATAACCCATTTTTTTCAGGGTCATGGAGACTCTAGGTATTTGTTTAAGTCCGCAATAATCAGACCCCAACCTAGTTGCAAGATCATTTAGAGGTGACGTAGACAATTGTGCGCAAACTTATTTACCCTGGCAGGAATCAACTGGCGGCTCGTCTCGTCTGAGTTGTCAAGAAAAATGGGCAGACAGTGGTCAAGCAAACAAGAAACAGCTGATGGCAGACCAGCTTTACAGCAAGTCTCATGCGATCGTAACACACAAGCAGTCTCTTAGCGCCCGAACTGATATGACCCGACAATAGCATCTCTGCCTCAGGAGCCTATGACAGATCGGGTTGTTGCTGGTTGATTGCAGGAAACTTGGGTTGTCCCCCCATTCTCGCTCTCCTCAAAAACAACAGTAGCTAGACTGCCAATGACAGGCGATGGACAAGATCCACCTCGCGCCAGTTGGTAGCGGCATTCAAATCAGGTTTCATGCGTGTCAACTGCTGCTTGGCGGTGATTTTGTCCATCCACAGCCAACCAAATGGCCGTACAGTGTTGTTCCACTATTGGCGCTTCGTGTGGTAATGAGTATGTAGGAATTTCAGCAACGATAGTCGCGTTGCTCCTTGTCTCATTGCTCACTTCCCGAGTGCATGGTGCGAACAAAATCCAAACTTATTGCGTGCCACTAAATCGGTCGTCCCAAAAAGTATCAAATCCATAAACTCACCAAGTAAGATTGTGTTTCATTTCTTTGGGCCAGCCTTTGTTGCCTGCTTTTGAACATCCAGAAACCATTCTTCCCCGAACTTTCGACTGGATCTTCTTATTGCCCCATTCCTGCGAATTGAAAGTTGCTTGGGGGCTGCCACCGAACTGGGTGCTTGTCCCTGCAGGTTTCATGCCATACACAAGCGGGTGGCGGCTTCAAAGGCTCAATAGACAAAGCGTAGCGTCAATCGATTGGCTTGCGGGTTGGCCCCAGAGGGTTTTTGTTCGTTCGGGGATTCGTCAATTACAGATTCTTCACATCCTCAAATGTGAGGTCCTTGGACCCTTTTTGGGGAAGCTAGTAGGCAGTGCCATGGAAAGTGCGACCATTGAAGGAACAGGACAACAGCCACCAGCGGAATGCATTCAGGGTCTCGGCCAGATGTCAAAAGGATGTATCAGTATCATATGCTGTATCAACCAACTTTGTAATGTCTTAGATGTTCATTTCAGATATACGAATATGTCCTCCCTCTACACACACACACATATATATATATATGTAAAGATACATATGCATATATAATGCAGATCATACATCCAGAGCACGTCCGATGGCATATGCTCGCCCCTCGCCTGCTGGATTGCATATTGCCTTTTTTGTTGTTGCAAATTCGCATGGATAAGACTTCCTCGTCACAAGGATGGGCTACATGCGCGGCTGCAAACAATGAAGCAAACAATGAACGAACATACGGTTGGCATAAGTCTTGGCATGCCTCATGGTCAAAACTTGTTATGCGGCGGATCATTGTCGTGACCCTGGCCCTGAGCTATCTTCAGATGCTAAGTCGTGAATTGATCAGCTTGCTGAGCAAGTACAGCCATATACTCATGATATGCTTCAGCATGGAAACAGGAACTCAGGAACACAGGAACGAACGAACACGAGAACACACAAACTAACCAACCAAACAACCAAACCAGCAAACCATCCAACCAACCAACCAACCAACCAACCAACCAACCAACCAACCAACCAAACAACCAGTCGCATGTGGCGTGGAAG